GAAAGCAATAATGATATAATCTTCTTCCTTCTTTTTCATGACAAGCAGCCCGTGCAACACAGCTCACTCGGAGCCTTAAAAAGAAACGAGCAAATTGTTTACAAGCTGCTCGCGAAGTAAAGCTGAAGATGATACACGTGTGTTAATGGGAATTTTTTTGTTATGTCTTTTCTCCATTCAGATCAAGCTATGTCCTTATCAGGGTTGCTTCCACTCACTTGCTATAAAAAATTAATTTTCTGAATTTTGAAATCATTCGATGTTATAATGATATTTTGTACTTGTTAGATACAAAAAGCGGATGAAAGGCAAGTGTTTGACTTATAAAACCTGTCAATTTCGCTACCAGAGTGTTACAATAAGCGATTTTATGATTCGTGAGCGTTCACTCAGAGTGAGCGCTCACGAGTCGTAAAATCGCTGATTGTGACTATCTGAAAGCGAATTTGACAGGTTTTATGTGTCAAACACTTTCCTTTCTACCTTTTCTTGTATCTAACAAGTACAAAATATGATTATAACATCTAATGATTTCAAAATTCAGAAAATCATGTTTTTATAGCAAGTGAGTGGAAGCAAGCCTGGTCCTCATCCATGTATATTGCAACAAAGTAGGCAAGCAATATATCATTATCCTTCTACCACTCCAATCGAGCTATGTTACAGAGCGAGTTTGTCATGGTACTCGTGGCATCAGTTTTATCTGTATCGTTGGTTGCTTTATATGTTTGGATTCGCTGGTCCTGATCGTATTCTGTGATGATCTTGAAAGTGTCTTTGGTAATCGCTGTATCTACGTCAATGATGATCTGCTCCACGTCTGGCTTGATTGTCACCACGTATCCTAGCCCCTTGTTGAGGTGTGTCAATTGTTCTTCCGTGGAGTGAATCCTCTGCGTCGTGGTGATGGTGGATGGTATCTTCTCTGCCGTTCGGTGTGTAGTCCGTCTCCGTTGAGACTCCTATCGTAGTCTGTTTAGCTTCCTATCGTGCAGCTTCCGTTTTCTATCCGATTCGCACTCCTCTGCTATCTTGGCCCTAGACAGAAACTCATGGAATTTAAAAGAATAGCATTCCAAAATCTTCATGTTCAGTTTGCTATATAGTCGTCTGATGCTATCCATGGTGAACTCTGCTTCCATCCTCTTTACTACGCTGGGTGGGGTGGGTGTCCGTACCTTAATCCTACGGCTTATAGGTATAACCTTATATTTTTCATTTTCTCTACCCAGGATCAAAGGTCTCCCCAAACTCCACAAACCGGGGAATGAAATGCGAGAGATCGTGTCTGCAGTTAGTTTCGCCAACTTGGATTGGATGTTGCAGAGAGCCTCGAGATCAACAAACAACGAAATTCTACTTATCTCAACAGGGATCAAGTTCTCTTAACATTCATTCCATTATTATATCAAGACCAACAATTGAAATGGCCTTAACTCCATTTTGTAAACAAGCCTTGTAAGGCCATTTTCTCGCGAATCGAAGTCCGCAAAGGCAAACCAACATAAAGAACAGGTAGGGGAAATTCTCCTCTACCCGATTGTGGTTTAGGTTTGCGAATGAAGGTTTCGGTTCGCGAGAAAATGGCCTTACAAGGTTTGTTTACAAAATGGAATTAAGGCCATTTCAACCCAAGTAACAAATCTAGAGCTGCTTGGCTATATTCAAAATTTATAAAGGTTTTATTGCAGCTGCAACCATTACCTACAGCTTTATGACGGTCATATACAATGCAAGTCATGAAACATTCTTATAGCTATCTACAAAACCCCTATAAAGCTAATTAAAAAACCAACTGATGCTTATGCTATTTTCACTTATGAAAGGTTTTATGATTGCTTTGAAGTATACAAAAAAGTAATATAAATTGCCCTTATAAAACCAAAAAATAAATCCTATCGTTGCTTTATAAGTAAGCGCAATAAAACTAGTTGGCCATGAAACAGTTATTTTAAAACAATTATAAGCATTCAGTTGCAACTTGTCAGAAATGTAAATAGGTGGTTTATTTTTACAACATAGAAAAGAATAAAAACTTTCCGGTACTTCCAAGCGGAGCGCAAAGAAAATCAACAAAATTGTTAGCATGAGCATGAAAACATTTTGTGTATACGTATACGCGACGTAGTGTGCGTAAGAAAAACGTCAGCAATCTCCATGATTCTTCCGTTCTCGCTCGCATATACATGGGGTGACACGGTCGAATCTTGGTCGAAATACATGGAATGGTGACAGTCCTAGGTTGAAATCACGCATAACTTTTCATAAAGGTTAATGTACCATTCAAAACTTTTCTAAATGTTTTTAAAATTCATCGGTTGCACCCGTAGAATAGGAATATACATTTGCCCTCAAATAAAAAAAATAATTCAAGCTGAAAATTGCATAAGGTCCTAAGTAATATTGACAGATTCGCTTCGTCAACTTTCTCTTTGCATCCCCAAGGTCATGTAAAGACATTCCCAGGTATTTTCAGCACATAAATCGATAAAAGAAGCTTTTATCTAGCATCCAATACGACAAACACATCAAGAAACGGTTCTGTGAATAAGTTATTAACGAAAGAGAAAGTCAACGAAGAGAATCGATCAATGTTACTTAGGACCTAATGCAAAGTTCAGCTTGAATTGCTCTTGTAAAAAAAATAGTTCTCGTAATAAAATCATGCATTATCCTTTTCTGTTCTGCTTTCATCCCATGCACACTGGGCCAGGAATGCAACCTAGCGGAGCAAAATTAATAACTCCGAAACGAAGCAATTTTTTTTCTGTTATTTCACATAACTCGAAAACAGTAGGCTGTGAAGTTTTAACGTATTAAGAAAAGTTGTTTATTTTATCAAGATAACCAACTTTGACAAAGTCGTGAAGTCTTCGAAACACAAATTCAATGCATTAAAAAAAGTTATAGAAAAAAAAAAATGTTCCACTAAAATGAAGAAATCTACAAAACACCAAAATATACCTCTCTCAAATTTTGATATTTTGTTTATCGAGTATTGCTTAATTTTTGCTGAAAATGTCAAGATTGTGTTTTTTTTTCTCGTTTTTCAACAATGTCTTTGAAATTTGAAGCTTAATCCAGTATGTTTCTTCACAAAAGCTATTTATTTAATGTATTTTCATAAGAGAAAAATATAACATTATAAAGCTGTAAGCAAAAAAACCATATTTTCGAGATTTTTTTCTTTAACTCCATATAACTTGGAACCAGTAGACTGTGGAAATTTTACGTCTTTGAAAGACCTGTTCATTTTGTCAAGATAAACAACTTTGCCCAAGACATCAAGTTTCCAAAACGTCAGAGAAAGAAGTTAGATTGTGACACCATCTTTGCGGAAGAGTTTTGAACTATTTGTTTATGTCAATAGATGGTCCTTATTATGACGAGAAATTTTGCCGAAGACACCAAGTCGCGGAAATGCTTCGTTTCGGAGTTATTAATTTTGCTCCGCAAGGTTGCATTCCTGACCCAGTGTGCAATGTAAGCATTAGACATTTTAAGAAATTGCGCTTGGTGTTTTTCTTGCCTGCTGTCTTCTGTCGCCATATTGTCATTATGAAAATGCCATTAGCCTTGGAATAAAATCCAAGAAATTTCAATAAAATAATGGCTAAATAAGAGATCCGAAATGATTTCCAGTGTGCATTGGTATGAATTTATGTATTGATATCTATTTTCTGTAAAATTAAGGTGATTCCATCAAATTCATTTAATTTCTGAAACAATCTTTTTTGTTAACTTGAATTATTTTGGAGGCGCATTTATTTAACGCTCATATTATCTCAATATACACGATAAAATTTCAAGCGCATATGTTTTGGAACTTCTAAAAAGTAATATATTTTCTTTAAGATTTTCACTAATGTCGCCATGAAACAAAATTGATTGCATGGTGATCTTGACACCAACACTCAAACCTATTTTAACCGCTAAAGATTTCCATTTGGTTTAAGCAGAACAGAACAACAACAAGCTAATTTATGGCGGTTGCTTTGAAGCCAATACAAATTAAATTGGCTTTATAACTGATTTTCACCAAAGCGTCATAAAACTGCTTGGATACAATATTACTCTTATAGAGGCTATGAGAACCTTTTGTAGAGTATGAGGCTTCCTGACAAAAGGTTTTAAGACAGCTTTATTGTGATTCTCAAACATGCTTTATAAACCTTATCAAGAGTGGTCCACTAAGCTGTATGACGATCTTATAGCGGTTATCAAAAGGTTGTGCTGGAGCTATTAATTTTATTGGCGGTTTTATGAAATTGATCTCAATAACCACTAATAGAGTGCAATAAAACAAGAAATGCTACTTGGGAATTGTTGGTCTTGATATGACACATTAGGGGGCGACCCCGGCGTAGTGGTTAACATCCATACCTCTTACGCCAAAGCCACGAGTTCAAATCTCACCCCCGGACAAGTCACGAATGACCCAAGAGTGTTAGTAACTATAATTTAAAAAAAGAAAAAAAAAATATAAGACACATTATATGCTGAGTATGGGACGGTCCACCAGGGCACCCGATTGAAGCTATTTGGATGGGGAGAGTGGAATTTCCAATTTCCTGTCGTTAACAGATCGCAGGTGGGCTCTTCTTCCCCACTCATTGGGACATTCCCTCGTGCGATGGCTAATGGTCAACCAATAAATTTTGCAGAAAATATTGTGTATTGCCGTGAAAAAACACCTGGGACTAGTGGTTTTTCCCACACATCAAAGTCTGCAAATCAAGCATTGCATTATACACCTGGTCATATCCTTATACAATCGCAGGCGTTATGAAGGCAAATTAGTCCAACATCTACTCAAGAATATAAATAGTCATCTATCCATATCTCAATATTAAAGGGATTCCAAATATAAAATATTTAAAAAAAAATTGATACAAAATTATTTATCAAACTAAAACTAAATTTATCAAAATATAAAATCCCAACTGTCACGGTGATCCCGCCTAACAATAGACTTCGAGCAAAGCCCGGTTTTCACCTACCTGATTTAGGCCCAAATCCAGCTCGGAGAGATGAGTCAGCATATTGTAAACCTGCGGATTCACGTTCAACAGATGACACCCCCGAACCTTCAGCACTTTCAATTCCTAGGAAGCATTAGAAGAAGAAAAATATAGCAAGAAAGATATCAACATGACGATGAAAATCTCATTCTATTCGCGCCGCCGATCGTTTTCGGAAGGAAGCCGAATAATCCATTATTAGCATATAAAACTCCAATAGCGCCCCCATTCTACGCACCTGTACGTCCTTAAAAACCTCCGGAGGCAGATCGTCGATGGGATTCCGACTCAGATCCAGATACTTGAGCTTCGCCAAATGGAGAAAAAGGCGCGCATTCAGCTCGTCAATGGAATTGTCCGCCAGGTTCAGCGATTTCAGGCTCTGTTGGGGGTTGAAACGAAATTGAAACGATTAAGATGCCGAAAAAAAAACCCAGATGAAGATTCGGGCGCGCGTTTGGGTGGGAGCCAGGCACGGCAGCTTTGTACACACTCAATAGGCAGTATAAAATGTTAATGAATATTTATTCTTCCCATCGAAGGGACGATGTTTCCCCGTATTGGGAGCCAATTTAGCATGGTTTGCTTCGGCGGAGGTGCTTAGTCAGCAGTATTTATTTTTTCCTCTCGCGTGTGTAGCTACATTTTGTTGTATGGCATTCAGCGGAAAACTGAAAAGTGGAAAGGGTCGACCTCGTAAAATTTAAGCAACCATCTGCGAACGAAGCCACCAGCAGCAGAGACGTGCACCATGAAAATAATAATGGTAATCAAAATTGAGCAAGGAATCCACCTATTGAAGCCAATGAAGTCATGATGGTTGCTGAGGGAGGACTACTGACTTGGCAGGTACGTGTGCACGCCTCTGGGAGCAACAATAACATTCAATTGGCAACGTTGTTGTTCATGGGGAGGTCTGGACTCAAGTAGCATGGCGGCGCTGCAAAATTAAATTACACCAAACATAAAAATTTCAACATGGGACTTCAGCTCTTCGGCCTGATGTGAGGAAGGTAAATATTTCACGATACGAACCTTCACTGGGATGCTACTATATCGAGCAAATAACAATATTCGACTTCAAAAGAAATTATCATGAAAATTTGACTGTTATTTGCATTTTTCCAAGAGCACACCAACATTCTAATGCCAATATTTGGCCACTCTTCGGATGGGAGCGTTTGTCGACATACGTACCCCGGCAGAGAACGCGAGTAGGTGTAATGGAATTCCACCGGCCCTTACCTTCAGATGCCCGAACGTGCCGCTCGCTATCCGCTCCATTCGGTTCTTCGACAGGTCCAGCTCCAGCAGGTTGTCCTGCCCTCGGAAGTTATCGACTATGATTTGGGTGATGTTGTTCCGCGAGAGGTCCAGTGTGCGCAGTTTGACCAGACCCCAGAAGGAGTTCATGCCGATGGCCGGCACGTTGGCGTTGGTTATTTTCAGTACCTCCAGCTTCGAGAGCGACTGGAACATCGGTCCGATGGTGAGGGAATTCTTCGAGCCTTGGATGAGGATGACTTCGACTTCCTTGTCGAAGTCGTGCACCGGGACCGTGCGCCATTGAACTGGAAGGGAAAATTAAAAATTGAAACGAAATAAATTATGTGATCGATGTGGGTATGAGAACTCAATATGACCGGCAATGATGTTATTGATTAGTTCTCATGAGATTTTATATGTCGTACGGTGGGTTTTGGCAAAGTCAGAAAATGGAAACTTCTAGGAACTTGTCCGGGTAGGGTAATGTAGCTCTGGGCACTTAATGGAAATTCGCTTGATTATGTTTTCTTTGGCTCTGTTACGTCCCTACTGGGACTATACGTCGGCACACAACATAGTGTTGTTTGTATACATCCACAGTTGATAATTGAGAGCTTTCTAAGCCAATACCATTTATGCATTAGTATTATTGTATGGTAAGTGCAATCCCGCTCTTTGTCTAGGGAAGGCAAACAAATGTTCAACCAGAAAAAAAATCGTAGGCCGAACCGCGAATTGAACTTAGCTGTCTCCAGTATGTTCTAGCTTCATAGCTGTGCCTTAACCGAATGAGCTAAGGGAGGCTACTGAACAAAGTTTTATATTGATGTGATTTGAGGTGTATGCAGATGGGATTTGGTCCAATTTAGAAACTTGTAACTTCCCCGGTCTGGATGTGGCCAATATATATACACTCAACCGGAAAATGCAAGATTCTATTACATATTTGCAAGAAAATTATGCAAAATGTGCAATGTTTCGCGACATGAACGGTGTGTGTAATGTGGTCGCCGGAAGGTTTATAAAACAAATGTTTACATTTTTATGTTAGCTTAATTTTCGAACAAAGTTTGTTTTCGCAAATGCATTGCGTCTATAAAATGAAATTTTAATACAACAATAAGCATTCTGGAAAAACATGCTTATTAGCTGCATTCTAACGAAGATAACATATCAAGAAGACTGGCAACTCTTCCATTTTCTCAAACGACTGGCATGAGACACAGGCACAATCGCATCATCTGCCGCTCAAAGGTGAATGCTCCGAACGAATTGGATAGCAAAGATTCCATCCTCAGAAGAAAGGTTTGTGAATTTGCTTATTTTTCGTTGCTTCCACCTTCGCTTGAGCACAGCACTACCAACCGGTGGAAACCAACGATTTTAGATTGGCGCACACTGGACTAGCCTATTGGTCCCAAGCAAATCGATTAACGTATCTCATTCTAGTCAAAATTCTAGCACTACACAATTTTTTTTTTGATTCGCTATGAAAGTTTGACAGATAAAATGAGAGGTTCGTGGATTTTCCTATGTTTCGAGGGGTGCATCGATTAGCTTGGGACCGAAGATAGTACCAGAGCTGAGCCAAAAAGTTGAGCACGTTTCTTCGGGACCTTCTAGTCTTAGAGTAACCTCTATGGCACTACTGTGTCTGTCGCTCGGATTCAGGCAAAGTTGCCAGTCTTCCTTATATGTTGTCTTCGATTCTATCCAAGCTTATATAGTGCATTTTCATAGTACGATCATTCTATCAAAGACTTGTCATCTTGTATCTTATATGTGGAAGGTACTTGAAGCAGCTTCCGAACTTGCATCCCTTCGATAGAATAGCTGAACAAGTTCCTAAGAAGACATCTGGAAATCTCGAAGCGAACGCCAAAAGCGCTTGGAAGAGCATCCGCAGGGCTGACCGCCGATCGACTTGAGCGATATTTTGAGAACATTTATAGTCAGTTCGAACACGGGAAAATGTTGTATCTCCTGGATCAGCCAGGGTCATGATGGAATGTGGACGAAACCAACTTTGTTATGAATCCAATGGCAAAGAAAGTCTACGCACGAAAATGGGCGAAGGTTGTGTACAACATTCAGCGTGGGAAGCCGAAAGAAAACATCACTTGCACGTAGGCTGTTTCTGTAGACGGGAGTTACATTGCACCACTAGTCACATTTAAAGATTCATTTAGTAATCTTGTTGCTGTTGCAACTACTTCTGGGTCTGTTGGTGCCAACTACTGGTGCCAGTACCGTCAACTTCCATGTCGATGGAGGAGGGAAAATATTCCTTTTTATGAAAAATATACACTATAAAACACTAGGGGCATCCCACTCTAAACATTGTATTTACTGCGCTATACACAAAAACTACTTACTGATATCTAAGATAACTAGAAATACTTAAAAATACTTAGCGTTAGCTCGTTACCATCGTTGTTAGACAAGTTTGTTTGTTTACCCGATGAAAATTTTTATACTTACTTCGTTTCTCATTTTTATTCCTTATATTCTATAAGTGTGTTGGGACGGTACCCGCAGGGAATGTTTAGTCAATTGGGTTGTTTAGGGGTATTGAGGTAACTACATATTCGATATCTACATTAAAAATGGAACCGAAATACAACATTTCATCAATTTTGGTACACTGAAACTATTTTAAATAAGTACGATTACATTAGGAAAAAAAACTACCATCTTAGCGCCCCTTGGTGGGACTTTGTATGGGACCGAGCTGTCAACGAATACATTTTGTGTCAACGATCAAAAATTTAAATCTTGATTTAAGAATCGAGATGAATGTCTACGGGATCGATAAAATCTTCGTTGTGCTCAAAAAACGAAGCTCTATTCGATAATGTATACAAATCGGTATATTTTTCAAAGTAAAACAACCCAATTTCGGCTACGATTTTGAAACGATTTGCGTGGTTCGATGATTTGCTATCTTGTTTGTTCTTTCAAACATTTCACTCTCCCTGATCCGTTTGCCAAGTTACTGGAATAAGTCACGGGATCATTCCACCTATTGCTCGTTCAATTTGAACTCGATCGATGTCTTAGTTTTCAGTCAGATATTGATCGTACGTCGATAACCGAAATTAATTATGCTGATCGAAGCTGAGCCATATATTTGAAGGACTTTCGCACAATATACATTCAGACAGAATTTCGTAGTGTCATAGCTTCAAGTTGAATGTGTTTATCAAGAAGTTTATCAAAACATCCTCGAATTCGGCATTTTCAACGCTCTTAACCCAAAAAAAAAACGCTCTTTTGCTGAGAGATTGTATAAGCAAAATATCGCCAAAATTTTAGAAATCCTTTTATTTTATTATGGAATTATATTCTCATTCATTTCATCAGATATTCTTAATAGTTATATAGTTGAAGATGCTAATTTCAAATAACATACTAGAGTGGTAATTTTTATACGATGAGGAGATGAAAGTATAGAGTTGATAGTTCCGTTAGAGTACGGCAGTGTGAAATTGTTTTATATAGAGAGTAGAAAGGGAGCAAGGACAACTTTTATGAATGAAGGTACAAATCGGTTTGATCATCTCTCTTTACCAAAATCCCCCGTTGGAGAGGGATGGTGAGGGGTGTCCCCCCCCCTCGCTACCACTGGCAAAAAGAGATGATCACCGACACGCTCAAGTACCGACGATGTGTTTGAAACAGTTCTACCGATTTTTACCGCACTCAAGTTGTTATCAAGTTGAAAGAAGGCATCCAGTCGTAGGTTTGGAAATTGCAGCTATTGCTACCTCTACCAAGGTATGTGCTCCTGTCATCGTCGACTTGACGATCTCGAGGAGACATGGGTAGGGTAGGTGCTGCTACTGTACCTTTCGACCAATGACAGTAATTGATGGTAAGCTCCCAGGGGCAAGCCAGCGCTCAGAGTAAATATATTTGCACCGAGTAAAATATAGTTACCCAATATTACTCAAAGCTGATCTAAAGCTGTGTTCCATTTGGAATTTTTTTTTACTTTCATTTGACACTTAGAAAATAAATTAAGATGTTCGAAAATCCCTCTGTTGTTGATCGGTCGATTTTCGAGAAAGTGTCTGTCAAAATTGATTCTTTGTCTGTCAGAAATAAGTCTGGTTTATTTGAAAATTTTCCATCTGTCAAATTTAAGTAAAAATTCACCAAATGGAACACAGCCTAAGTAGTCTAAAAATAATGGCCAGAATCTTAAAAACAAAACAAAATTCGATAGTAGCGACAAGTTGTGATCTGTCAGCGAAAAATTAGCGGGATCTTGATTACTTTTCAAATAATAAATAATTTAAAAAAATATCTTCAAAACAGCTTATAAAGGCAAAAATAAGCTGCAAAAATCAATTTTTCTCTGTCGAAGCTGCTCTGCAACTAAAATTATTAATTGGGTGAACCATGACTTAAAACCTACATGATATGCAACAGGGCTTAGATCTAATTTTGGATGTACTAAGCACAACCCGCCTTTTGTCTCTATTTTTCAAGTTGGTTTAATTTTTTCTTAATATGAAATGTTTTCACTGCACAGGACTTCTAAATTTATAAACCTTTCCGTACGTACCGTAATATTTAATAAAGATAATCAAATTATTGACATATTGTTCAAAATCTAACACTGCCTTTGACCCCAAACTCGGCCTACGGATTCTCAACTCGGCCTAACGCATTGAAACGCTATTGAAACGCAATTGAATTCACTTCGGCCTATCGGATGAACATACAAATTGATTCGGTCGGAGCGCTTCTTTTATTTTTGAGAATAATGGGTGCAAACATTCATATTTTTCGCACAGGATCACAATTTGACCGGATTTCGGACCTTACACTTTAATCTTTCACCATATGAAATCACTAATTGCGGTTATTTGCAACTGGAATGGAATTTATTCATCTTCAAAAAAGGTTACAGGAATAGTGATAACGATTGGTGGATAACTAATTTATTGCCCCTATCATCTGTTCACTCGTACCTACAATTTACTCGTGGAAAGGAGATTAGCTGATAAGAGAGGACCTGACGCTTCGTGTGAGAGTAGGTGAAATACTATTTCGCGTGGAACATGTTTGGTGGTAGGGTGCTTCTATTTATATTCCAACATACCGCCCACCTTGGAATCTCTGTGATTTCAATCTAATCTAAACACTTGTCTTCTTCGATACTGCTGCCGATTCCACGACGTCAATGACGTGGACTATCTTCTCCTCCTTGATGCAGCAACACTGCTACTACTGCCTACTGCTGGACGACTGCTATAACCCAACCATTGTCGGAACTTGCCATGGAATGACTTCGATCGTCAACTTCGACTGACTGTCTTGAGGTCTGACACGGGTGTCCATGGGTATGTCCACGGGTTGGCGACGGAAAGATTTATCGAAAAAATGAGAGGGTGCTTTTCAACTATTTAACCCAACTATAAATCGACTTGCCTGGAACGGAGGCCTCTTGGCATCCTCGGGCGCCGAAGCACCGACGATGATTCCATGTCGCACGGACGAATTGATTGAAAGAACGGATATGTTGACCACCAAAACGAGCTGACGATGCTCAGCGAGGCACGGGTGCCATGGATTCCCGTTATCCATCAACGCGTCGTTGAAAATCATCATCCTACCTTACGGAAAGGAATTGCGACAAGATCAGGAACGTATCGTAATGACAAACAGGACAGCACCGTGAACTTCACTCAAGATGTTCCGGATTCTCGGAATTGGAAAATGGTGTTGACAGTGGTTAGTTCTGGTCGCACCGAAGCACGAGCAGAGTGCAAGTTGTCACGTAACGGTAGGATCCAATTTTTGGAAATTGCCCTTCGGTACAGATCGTCTAGCGTTTTGACAGTAGCTATGCGAATGTTTCCATCTCAGCCAGCATGGATGTTAGCGACACGTCCTAGCTTCCATTTCAGAGGCTGGAGGTTGTCCTCTTTCAACAGAACCAAGGTACCGGTTATCGCGCTTGCGGGTCCATTTTGTTCTATTGTGGAGATCGGAAAGGTACTGGACAGACCACTTCTTCCAGATTTGCTGAACGTAGTCCTGAGCTCGTTGCCACATAGACAGTCGTAGACACTTCGTCATGCTGGAGTACTCTGTCGTCGATAGTGCGCTTGAAATTCCATTTGAACGATTTCACCGTGGCTTCCATAAGCCGCCAAAATTGAGAGATCTTACCGGATTTAAGCGAAACTTCATTCCTTTCTCTACTGCTCCGCGTCCAACAGAATCGTGGAATCCTTGATCCGTGTATAACTGCCGTAATTCTTCCAACTGACGCTTGGTTCCAACAAAGTGCAGGGCATTGTCGCACATGACTAGGGCTGGTCTTCCCCTGCGTGCCACGAATCGCTTGAAGGCAGCATGAAAGGCTTCACTGATTATGTCGCTCACCAGTTCAAGGTGGACTGCCTTCGTTACAAGGCAGACGAAGATTGCGACAAAGTGTTTCCTAGGGAAGGATCTGCGGATTGGCTAGCTGAACAGGAACGGTCCGCAGTAATCCACGCTTACGTTCAGGAATGGTGGCGTTGGAGGTCAGCCATTAGCTGATCCAATAATGGGTGCAAACATTCATATCATGCGTTCTCATTGACTTCGTTCGGTAGCTTTTTAACTAAAGTATCGTACCAAATGCATTATTGACTTGTTAACTCTGAAATCATGGATTTATTTGAAGTTTTCTGCTCGATGGGCCCAAAATGGGCGATAAGGCCGAAGTAGTTTCTTGCCCGACAAATTGTAACCTCAGCTCGTTATAGTCTTCCGCTGTATAGTTAGTGATTGTAGATGAAAATAAATTTGAAATCAAATTAATGAGGTGAAGCAAATGTTCTAATCCTAATTTCAATTTTCGGTCCTATTATATAAGCAATGGCTAACTAGTCTAATTTGGTATTCATTCTGTGATACAAAAACAGACCAGTGACCAAAAGTCAAGCTTGACTCGACTTACATAATAGGATTCTATTTTAATATTAGCCGTTATTATTGATTTCCTACTGAAAAATCCGGTTCGATCAAATTTGGGAATTGGGATGATGGAATGAATCCTATGAGTTTACCAAATTAAATAGGAAAAGTTTCGCGCTCAATTTGAGTATTTAGTATTAACAAGACGTTCTATTAGCAGTTACAAACCAATCTACTAATGCCTTTATTTTAATATTAATAGTACAGTTAACACAAGTAAGATTTATTAGATTTAAGTTCTGAACTGAATGACCATTTCATAAAATTCTTCTACCACCAATATACTTTGGAACTAATGGATGAAGTATTGAGCATCCTCGGTAGTCAATCAAAAAGCATTGCCAGTCTTTCCTTTTTAGTGACTTCCATTGTGTATTCTGGATTTGATGTATAAGCAGTCAAGATTTTTAATTTCATTTGATAATGGAGGCTTACCGATAAAGGAGCTGGAAGAATTATTTCCATGCCACTTTAACGTAATCAATATTATTTCATTGCATTTCAAGGCACCCATCAACTGTTCCTTTGCATCATGATTGTCTATAATACACAGATTTTGATTTCATTAAAATTTTTAACTAAAGCTATATTTAATTTAAGAGCAGATGAATGTTGACTATTCTTTCGTAACAAACAGAACCGTTTGAGCACTGTGGAGCGAAAATTTCAAATTTTGCATCAGTCTAGTGACCATGGATGTGCTCATAATGTGTTATAAAAATAATGCTCATGTTCATAGTTTGTTATACAAGTGTACCCACGGCATAAGTTATTCGTTCGAAAGACACTTTAAGCATGGCCACAAAAATCAGGTTGCTGAGTTGCTGCGTGTATTTAACATTGAGCAGCACGAGTTACTCCGATTTACTCAAAATTAAAATTTACTCAAAACTCAAAAGCTGTCTTACCCCTAGTAAATAACATATCATGCAAGCTTCAATGAAACTGATTTTAGCTTGAAGAAAATATTCATAAATTTACTATGATTTTTCAAATATTTACATGCGAATCGCACTTCGTAACTTTGACTGCCATTATCTCAATGCCTACTTTTTTCTATATGGAACTGATATGGGTTTATAGGCTGTATAGGTGGCTATGGGCGCTAGAGAGCAAAGCAAGCTTTTATGTAGTTTAAAAAGTTCTGTGGTGTGAGTAATTGTAGTAATTGAGTAATTCAACGCAATTTGGTAGCGTTTCAAAGATTGAAGAAAATCAAATGTCACAGTTTTCCGTCAATAAGCACAGCAAAAAACAATAATATTACATGCAAGAGGATGCACTTCAATCTTGTCGAAAATCTCATGTAATTTTTATGGTCACAACAATAAACAAATGCAGTAAACCAGCGTAATATCAGTTCATGCACTGTATTAATGATAATTTTTTCCTTTTTGGCAAGTAATATTACACCATATTTTCGACAAGATTGAAGAGCATCCACTTTGATGTGATATTAAAGATATTTTTTCCTGTTAGCATAATTCAAATTTTACGCAAAGTTTGATTCCAATGTACGCACTATTTGATAGAACAAAGCGAATTGGTTTTGACCAAGTATCGAACAAACATCGCATTTCATTCCGCACAAAATGCAAATGCAACATATGATTCCAACAGACAACCAATTGTCTTGACTTCATCGATGTGTCCTATTTGTCATCGATACAAACTACAAAAGAGCTTCGATGCGGTGTAGTCACCTTCTTCAGAACGAGCAAAGCTCATAGCAAATCGGTTCCTGCACCATTGGCAGAGCGTCTATTAAGAAGGGTAGGTACATCCAAGCAACAGCAAAACAAGCGGCTTATTTCCTGTTTCTCAGAAGACACTATCAAACAACCACCCAGCCGGTCCGGTCCCGCCATGCAAGCCCTGATGCTTCTGCAAAATCTTCACCAAACAAAAGTCAACCTGGTGCAAGGTTCTCCGGAGAAGTCATAATAGCATCATTCTATAGAAACTCTCTTCACCTCCTCCTCCTCGCAAAACTCACCTTTTGTGCAGGTCGTCTGGTACAGTCCCCTTTGATCTAGATTACACTCGCAGTCGGTCGGGCAGCGTTTCTGGAGCTGACTGGAAGTGAACTGCACGGCCAGTATTAGCAACGTCAACAGGATGGCTGTGCCGGAGCCGCCAGTCTGGTCCATCCGGGTTCGTCGAGTCGATGAGTGCATTTTGCTGAAAAGATACAAACACAAACAGTTGGGGTGAATCTGTGCCGGGTTGAGTGAAGGGACTGAGTGTCTTAAATTTAATGACCAAGAATAGCTAGTTCCTAGGATTGGGTATTTTATACCAACTTTTATATTGACCGGAAATGGAAGTTTCTCTTCAGGTTTAGTTTGGTCGGCTCGATCCGGGGTCGAAAGCAAACAGATGAAGAATGACTGCTGTTAGAACTTGCTCTCCAAATACCGTTGGAGGAAATGGAAATGGAAATCAGCCGCAACATGACCGGAAGAAGTAACCACAAACTAATCGATTGGCTATTGATCGTGAGGAATGGCTTTTCGGTTGAACACCAACAAGTCCTTTTTGTAATAATTAGACGAAGGGATAATATTTATCATAATTAACACTTTTGAGCAAGTGGAAGCGAAGGATTTTGAGAGGATTCCGTGTACCCTTGTCTAATTGATAGGGAAATTTTGTTCGTAGCGCATTCTACGCCAGACACAGTGAAATGAAGATCTGGCAATTAATTATGCAAGGGTTGAAACGCTCTGTGCTAATTAGCATAATTGACTTCTAATCAGGCTTAATGCTGGTGGTGCTCATGGCTGGAGCCTGGTTGCTTTGCCTCGCAGTGATTAATCATCAACTGTGTCGGGGGCGAAAGTGGCTGAAGTTTTTGTTTGTGTTCTGTCGGTGCCAGACAGAATGATCGAAGTGGGTACCGAGATTGGTAAGCCTTAAGGCAGGGTAGCGAGATTATTTATCGATACAGTTCGGTTTCAATATCTGTATTGGTATCGCATCGGATTTCAAATTATCGATAGCAACTCATGAACCGGGGACCAACGGCTTTACTTCCCTTCCGAAGGAAGGCATGTTCAGACATTTTATGTCTCAGAAAATCCCGGTGGCGCCGACTGGGATTGAACCCCGACCCTTTAGGGTGAGAGGAAATCCGGCTTACCACTACACCACCGGTGCCGCTGAAAGTTCCTCCTGAAGAAGTCATGTTTGGTAGGAAAATAAGGCGTGGACTGCCATTACTTAGCAGGGGTAATGTGAATCACGATGACGCTTTGTTAGAGGAAATAACAATGTGCCAGAGAAGGTCGGGTTAAAGCAGTAGATGAAGTCATAGTGGAACGTTATGTACGTGCAAAGGGTAGTAGGGTAGAGAACTACTTCGGCCTAATCGCCCATTTTGGGCCTATCGAGCAGAACACTTCAAATAAATCCATGATTTCAGAGTTAACAAGTCAATTATGCGTTTGGTACGATACCTTAGTTAATAAGCTACGGAACGAAGTCAATGAGAACGCATGATATGAAGGTTTGCACCCATTATTCCCAAAAACAAAAGAAGCGCTACGACCGAATCAATTTTTATCTTCATCCGATAGGCCGAAGTGGATTCATTGGCGTTTCAATGTATTAGGCCGAGTTTAGAATCCGTAGGCCGAGTTTGGCGTCAAGAGGCAGTGTTAGACTTTTGACAATATCCCAACGATTGGTTTCTCTTTATCAAATCTTACGGTACATACGAAAAGGTAAATAAATTTGGAAGCCATCAGTAATAATAACAATCCGTTTGGTGCTAAACTGCGCTAGATTAAGAAAGATTAAGTGTGGGTTGTGCATAATAGGCCGGAAATGGGGTAGTTAACCCTGCCAACCGGTGGAAACTAACGATTTTAAATTGGCTCACTACTTGACTAGCCTATCCCAAATAACATTGCAAGTTTTATCGAGGTTTTAAAGCATTCTACAAGTCTAAATCATGGTCTACAGGAGCTTTTTAAAACCAGAATTGTTTCTTGGGATTGATCGTAAGCAAATCGATTAACGTACCCCATTCTACTCGAAATTCTAGAACTACACTATGTTTGTTTTGATTCGCTATGAAAGTTTGGCAGATAAAAAGAGGAGTTCGTGGATTTTCCTATGTTTCGAGTGGTGCATCGATTAGCTTGGGACCGAACAGAGTACCAGGGCTGAGCCAAAAAGTTGAGCACGTTTCTTCGGGACCTTCTAGTCTTAGAGTTACCTCTATGGTAGTACTATTTAGGTTTGGATTGAAGATATTCACGGAGCTTGAAAACAAAAATGGATGTCTTTTGTTAACTACCGATGAGGGAAAATCCGTAAAGCACCACTATCACAAATAAAGAAGATTCATAAGTGGAGGAGAGGGATAAGCCTTGATTTCAAATCAATCACTGATGAAGGGAATTCATCAAAAGAGAACTTGGCTGATCAAGATGGTGATGAATGTGATGGTTTAACAAACGCTCCTCTAAATATTTGGCGGGTTTCCAACCAGTTGGTCTAATTTTTTTCCGCAAGTGGGAACTAGTCACTCGCAGAAAATCAGAGCGATTGGTTGAAAACCCGCTGAGAAAGCGATGGGTAGAACTAGACCTGTGCACCGATCAATTTTCGGTGGCGGCGTGATATGTTGTTTTCTGCCGGCGGCGGTGGCGTGGTGGCGTTGGTCGGCGTGAGTTTATTTTTAATGATTAAGAAAAAAATACTTTCCAAACCAATCGAACATGGACAAAAAATGCTATCCACATTTGAGTTCAGATTACTCAAAATCGCTAAAACGTAGGTCACTCATAGTATGAGTAAATTTTCCGACACTTTCCCGGGGAAAACTTCTCGAATATGGAGAAAATTTAAGAAAATTGTACTCCAGTTAGAAGTGTACTGGTGTACAGACTTAAACCACAATCAGTTTTCCTCATGTTCGAGAAGTTTTCCTCGGAAAAGCGTCGGAAAATTTACTCATTCAATGAGTGACCTACGTTTTTGCGAATTTGAGTAACCTGAACTCAAATATGAGTAACTCTTACTTAATTTTTAGCAGATTTCATTGGCCGTGCATGCGGATTGTTTTAGAAAAGTATGTCAAGTGCTTGTTAAAATTGCAGGGGGTGGAGTCGTATGATAAAGTGAGATATTATTTAAAAGCAATCAGTTGCATTACGTAAAATTTTAATGGACCCTAGGAATTCTTTCGTTTATTGAGCATTGCACGTTAAATTATATGCTTTTATTACTCTGATACATATTTGAATCGACACGCATTGTAGTCATATAACTTTTTTTTATGTATTTGAAGATGTCTTTCGGATATACGTAGAATCCCGCACAACTTGTAAGATATTAAGAAAAAGGTCAAATACCAACGTGTTGTTCATAATAGTCACTTATTCCACTTTATGTAAATCCGATCCTCGTCAGTAAGCCACTGCTTACTGCAAAACTCTATTTTTTGCAAATTCTGTAATTGTCCCTTCGTGTCTGCCATCGGTGAAGAGTAAAAAGAGATAGCAAACTATACTCTCTCTTTCTATGAAAACGATGTGAAACGGAATCATTTTTGTGTCGAGTCAGCTCTCAGCTTGATTTTTGTACGTCGTGAATAGTCTCGCAATATCAAAGGAGCTTGTAAAATCAATATCAAGCATGATATTTTGTTCCAATACCACGCGTGATATTGAGAGCGTATGAGAGCGGAAAAATATTATTTGATTGATGATTTTGCCAACACTGGTTTCCACTAAGGGATTTCACAAATTTACTTACTAACTGGTATATTAATTTTTGGCCCACAACAAACTTGAACACCAAATACGAACTTTGCAACTGTATTGCATATTTTACAGCTGTCGCTTACACCGCATGTGTTTGTTTTGCGTTGGTTGTAAGTGTGTAAGTGAAACATAGCAGGCAACCGAAAAATGCTGGCATAGCAGCCCCTTGGATGCATCCCTGTGTGGTAGCTAGAGAAAGTGCGAAACAAACGTAAAAAAAACTTAATGACAATCGCTGCCTCATATACGTCATTTGAGGTTATTCAAAAATGAGTCATAGGGGAAATGGCTCTAATGTTGGCCTATGGATCTAAGATTGGGCCCATCGCTAAGAATCTGCTATTTATCAATTTTATCTAGGTGAACGCGTCATTGAGCCGGTGCTAATGGATATTTTGGGTTGCTATTGAAAATTTAGTCGGTTGCTGAATTTATGTATGGGCCCAAATTGGGGGCATTTAGGCCGACATTACATCCATTACATTACAAGCGTAAAATCATGAGTAGTTGTGATTTGTGAATCTGAGTAACATTGACTCAACAATTTAACAATTTTGAGTTTTCAGCCCATTTGTTGACTTAAAAAAAGAATAAAATGGCGTTGTGATAATGTAAAAATACGAAGCTTGCCTTTCTGTCGTAGAAGAAAATTTGAAAATCTCGAAATAATTCATTCTAAAATGGAGCAAATTGCAGCCGCTGTGGATGCGGAATCGTACCGCAACGCAAATTGAAAGATAATTGTTTTGCATTCTGTTTGCTATGAAATAAAATGCTTGATTAAAATGTTTTTCAGTTTTTGGTTTATCAATCTTATAAAGAAACAAAGAAAAGAAACGAAATGTTTGCCCATTTGTGTATTTTTGACTCATTTTCCTATGTTTTGGATATTATGGGAATCAGTAGAAATAACTCATCAACAAATACCTAGCCGTTTTACTTAAAATTCAGTTCAGGCTATGGTACTCAATTTAGAGTAGATCTGGTTTTAATAAAATTGAGTGATTTTCCACTCAATTTTGAGTAGCGACGAACGAACGTGCACAAAGTTCTAATTTCAACGTGTTCAAGATGCAATTTACCGAAAAGTTGTTACGGATTTTTCATCGGCGTGACATAAAGTTATTCGGCGGCGTGAACCATTTTACTGCGGCTACGCGCCGGCTCAATTTCATCGGCAGCGGAGGCGTATAAAAATCGACGGCGTGGCGTGGCGCAGCGGTGCACAGGTCTAGGTAGAACTCAGTGGGTAACGCATTTTTCGGAAGAAAGCTGAATGACAAGATATTTTTCTTGTTTTCATTAAACATAAAAAATTATCGTAACAAAGTATAACTTGGACCATTCAGTTTACGGTAACAACATTTTCTACTTAAATTATTCCATTTTGCATTAGGGTAAACGCTC